AAAAATATGAGAAATATTTTCTCTCACAGTTATTACGTCTAATAACATTCGTTTTCACTGTATCTTTTGTACTTTTTTTCCCTTTTGGACAAAATGGCCAGATTAGACTTGAGAGACTTGTTCAGATGTATCACAATTCCATTCGAGAGTTGCGCAGCTTTTACAATGTCTCAATTTCATTCTTCATCTTGTATTCCAAATATATAGTGAAAAATATTTATTGTGGGGCAAAAACGACAAAAAACATAGCTACTCTTTCCATGATACAATAAATATAAATAATATTGAAACAGTTGACAACTTTTAGGCTGCTTGGTTCTTCATGAATTCGCGCATCCAATCGGCGAGTTGTTCCGTTTCTTGCAGGCTTACGGCATTGTAGAGTGATGCTCTGATGCCTCCAACAGACCTGTAAATTATATTTTTCATAATTTCCCCTCTCAGTCAGATTGTCCTCTTACCTATGTCCTTTTAGGGAGATCATTCCTCTGGCCTGGGCCCCTTTCAGAAATTCAGCTTCGAGCTTCTCATCACCTCCTTTAATTCGGTAACAAACGTTCATATAGCTTCGGCATTGCTTATCCACAGCACAAGTGTAGAATCCATTAGATTCATCGATGAGGTTGTAGATGGTTTCGGCCTTTTTCTGTAATTTTAGGAGATATTCAAATAAAAATTTTCAAGTTACGGCTGATTCTATCGTATATATGGGCTCATCGCACGCAGAGACAAGGCCTTTTTGCGTACGTTGTCGGCGTCTCTCTAATCAATCGCAGTCTCATTTCTTTTACCGTCTGCTGTCTCTTACACCACGCATTGTTTTTCGCCAGCGCAATTGCGTACTGTTTCTGCGTGCGCTAACTCGTCTATAATCACCTTGTTTGTAGTGTAGATAGCGTCCACGCCACCTTGATCCCTGATCCACTTCAGGACCAAATTGGTCAAATAAATTCTAAAAAGAATTTTAGAAAAGCAAACAATTTGGGTAAGGAACTTACCCATAGACTGCTGGAGTATTGTACAGACTATTGTGCTCTACCATATCCTGATAGCTGAGTATTGCTGGAGTTGCAGGTTGAGCCTGAAATCGATAAATCGATATGCCCTTTATCAACTACATCTTCCGGATGACTAAAACCCCATACTTTTCCAATCAAGTCCTTCCTAACCATAACGACGGTCAAACCAGCTGCACCAAGGTTCTTTTGTGTGCCACCAAACACCACTCCATGCTGGAACAAGCCTTGGATTTATATGGTTTTGATAATGAGAAACGTGCGCTACTTACGTGTTTGAAATCAAATGGTCTTGAAAGGAAGTTCGACGAGATATCAGCCACCAGGGGAACTCTATGTACGGAAAATGGAGGAGTATGGAATTCGATTCCATGTACGGTTTCATTAGCGCAGTAGTAGAGATAGGCGGCTTCCTAAAAATTATTTAGATTCCGAAATAAAATGTAATTGCTTTTCATCACCTACCTTATCGTGGTCCCACTTGCTCTGATCAGGAATTGTGACGAAGGGCTTGGTAGGATTGAATACCTAAAGATATGATGCTGTTCAAAAAATTAAATCATCCGTACTGAAATGTTACAAAGCGAAATTTCTATGAAACTGAAAGCATTATTTTATATTTAAAATTAAGGTAAGCTAACTCCTTATCAAGCGCCCTTTACCTTCTTTTCGTAAGTAAATAGATTTTTACGAG